ATTGATCTTAATTCTTCATCTCTAACAGCCTTTTCTGGTGTGAAATCCTGGCTTTAGTGACGTCAACAGGACTTCAGTCCTGAGGACTTCCAGTCTTTTGAGCTGCTGTTTAAGAAGCACATCATTATTCTGTGACACTGTATGACTTTTCCCTGCAAATAGGTGTTACATCACATGCTGTCTGTGTGGAACATTTCTGCCTATGAAATGTAAAAACAAGCAAATATCTTTAAAAAATGTTGTGAATAAAACTCAAAAATCAAGAACAGCTAAAGGTGAAGCTCACACTAATATCTTGTTCATCTGTACCAAATTGACTAGCTGACCTTTTCTAAGTATTATCATTTCAGAGCGATGGGCGTGCCAGACCTAAGATTTTATTTCTCCTTGTAGGGGATCTGACCTCTGGCTGGATGTATAGATCTGCTTTACATTGCATTTCCAAGACCAGGCACTTTTATAGATAGATGGTGTCTGTATTTTTGTACATACAGAAAGAATATTCTAGATCACTCCTAAATAAATTCATAAATAGTCTGTAATACATGGAGCTCATTGCAGTTCATCACATTGATTCACTCTAGACTGTGGCAGTACTTTTCCCTCTCCATAGTTAAGCTGAAACCAACTTCTTGTGTGAAGTCTTCTCTTAGCTTCTCTACAGTTATGCCAAAGACGAAGGAGAAGGTTCTGCAAGTTAAGTGTGCTGGTTGTTACCTTGGTTTTGTTTTAACTTTTCTGGAATATATTTTTTCGCAGTTTTGCTCAAAGTCATCTTGAACTTGAAAGGCTTCTCCTTCCCGTCATCTCTGTACCTGTAGTACAAAGGATGGACTAACCCAGCCACCAGGTCCCGCTCACTGCTGGGCTCTGGTGTCGCTGGCTGAGCTATCGCCCTCCCAGCACATGCTGGCATTTCACCAGTCTAGCGTTAGTTGGTACCAGGATATCTGGGAGAGGAGGAGGAATGACTACCAGAAGATGCATCCTGTTCTTAATTTCTTTATCAAGTATGCTTTTATCTTTGGTATCAGGAATTAAAACCAAATTATCCAGATTAAATTACTGACCCTCCTGTAAGGACATAATACCTTTTTAAATGCTTCTCCAAGGGATCCTAAAGCTGGAGAAGGTTACTCCAGGGGGCTGGATTCAAACCCTTGTGTTTTCGATCTCCCCGCAGGCCACTGCTTTCTAAAAGCACTACAGTCAGCTCGGTTTCCAGGGTCCAAAACTCTGCCTTTGGGCTATCGTAAGACAAGCATAAAACTTCTGAAGTAAGGACGAATTTGGAGTCCATTGTTTTTAATGATTATGGGCCTCTGTCAGTATTTAGGTGAAGAGGCATTTTCTGACATTGAGATCGCAGGTACATGCTGCGTATGCAGAAGTAGCATGCAAAGATTGTTGCACAAGCATAAGGTCAAATACTCAGAAATTAGTATAAGAGAAAAGATGGATTTAATCACTGGTCTGCACTAAAAACCTGGTGAGTATCCACTGAACATGCTGAGAAGTTAATTTTCAATGTTATGTTCCCCAAACTAAAGGAAGCCCTTCTCTTTAAAGGGACTGACATGACGACAATCTTCAAACCTTTACCACTGACATCATGGGAAATTCGTACTGCCTCCCACTCACCCATCATGTGGAGAAGCTGAGGATTCTTCTGGCAACATGCTTTGGGAAGAGCCAAGCAATAGCAATCTACAGATTCAAAGGTATATTTTACAAAGTGTTTTGCATCTGTGGAACCTGTGTTACAGAAGGTATTTGCAACTCTCCTGATCACTGCTGTTCCCATTTGTAAATACTGTGATGTGTTAGGTAAATTTGGTCAGGAAATGGATCCTCTTTATTTCTAGTGTCTTCATTTTTTGGGGAAAAAACAACAATCCAAACCAAATCCAGCCAAACAAACCCCAGGTTTTTATGTGAAGGAGAATCCTTCTTTAACAAACAAACTTTCAAAAACGTTAATGTTTTTTTTTTTCATTAGTCTGTGGGTAAAATTTTTTTAAAGTTTTATTTGCTTAAGCAGCTGCTTTTTTTTTTTTTCCCATTTTAATGAAAAACAGATTGTAAAATATTTTGAATAAATATTTTCTTTAGGATGTGGGACACACAATGAATTGCTAAGTAGTTTTATTGTATACAACGATATTTGGGAAACAGCAGTTCCTCTTTAAGTATCTGATTGTCATGCATAGAACAGCTCAGAGGTTTCCATGGGCTGACGGGTCTATCCCTGTGAACTGTGCTGCATGTTCAGGGTTTTACCATGTACAAGCTGGTAGATAGATTACAAGTGGAAAAAAAAAAAAAAAATCTGTATTTTGCAGAGAAGATTTTAGTGATTAAATTAATTCCACTAGCCTTAATAACATTGTGCATTTTTTGTTTGTTTGTTTGTTTTTTCTTCTGTACAAACATGTAAGTTCCTGGTGTATGTTCATGGCATGGAATATATCATGAGACTTACTCCTCTAGAGACGGACAGCTGTTGATGAGAGGGCAGCATATAATCTCACTAGTACGGTGGAAAAAAGAAAAATGAATGGTACATGTTCTCCAGGTCAGGTGCACCCTTGGGAAGATATACGTTGCACATGACAGAGTTATGCCACTACCTTTTCCTCAAGAGAAAAATAAATACTGGTGGCTAAAATGGCAATTTCTACTACATTTTTATTTAATGCTTTCTCTTCTGAGCTCGTTTTACTTAGCTAGAAAACATTCTTCTCCTTGAGTAGTAATTATTATTGTGTTCTGTAGGTTTTCTTAAATGAAAAATAATATTTGTATTTAACGTTTACACCCACAGAAAATATTCTACGGTATTAGTTAAAAAAAATACAAGTCCTTAGCCACAGCTAAGGTAATATGGGTTGTATACAGTGTGATAGAGAGAACAAGGGCCATTAGCGTTTTAAAAGAAATATTGCCCTCGAAATGTTGGGAAAACTGCATGGGAATTTTGGAAAAGGGCCTTCTGCCTTGTGTTAGAAAAGCTGCTGAAGCTGTCAGTGTTAATTTTGTCACAACACTAGAAAACTCACCCCCAGCAAATGGAGCAGAATAAGCAGTAAGGGAAATTTATACTTTCCTAATTGCAACAGTGCGGCTCTTTTGTGGGTCCAACACCAAGCTTGTGTCCCCCAAGGACCAGGGTAAGCACGAGGATGCTCGTGCTAAAAACTCAGCCTCCGTGAGCATCTCTCACTCGATGGAGACCTCCGGGAGCCTCGGGGCAGTGGAGCAGGTTTCCAGGTGAGTGGCGCTGGAGGGAGCAAGAGTCTGCCGGGGGGGAGTTGGGATACTAGTGACTCTTTGGAAAACTGGAGGGAATAATTTGATGTACTTTGAACTCTAATAAACCAGACTCCCAAAAGAGAAGTGATTTGAAGCAAAGACCAACTACCACGTTTTCCTCAACTGGAGAAAAGTGAAGCAAAGGCAGCAAGAGATGGACGAAGCAGCCAGAGCGGGGAGTAGTAACAGCTTACGGTGTGTTTGCCACAGCTGATGCATGTTTGTTTTCCACTTCTCACCTCCCTGTGCAATCTCAGGCCCTGCTCTGTACTCTGTCCTTGTTTATATTTGATGTCGCAGCAAGAAGACAAGGTGCCATTAGCTTTTACTTGAAAGGTCATATTGAAGTTATTTTTCTCTAATCTGAGGGATTTCAACCATAGCAAAGTAAAATAAAATTTAAAAATCTGGTCTAAGCAACTCTCCTAACCTGACTATATCACAGAGAAATAAAATTAAACATTGAATTGTATATTGGGCAATTACTGCAAAATTGCTCAACTCGTTTTTCAGTCACTGGTATCAGTTGTTCTCTGTGTGAATTCCTCCAGATTTAGGAAATGATCCTGCAAATTTTAGCCTGTCATTAACAAAAAACAAATATCCAGATATATTTTACCACTTTATAAATCAGTACACTGAAGACACGTTTATTGTGAAACACGTGGGTAATCCCACCCTGGCTAGTAAATGATTTGGAGTATCAGATGTGCCACTGAGCTCCCGGGGCTGGGTGGAGATTTGGATGTCTCAGCTAAGCCATGGCAACTGACCCTAAAAATGAGCTTTACCTGTCCTAAATACAGAATAATGTCTTAAGCATCGTAGAAAAAGGCTTTCCCCGACATTTGGGATGGGTTAAGAGAGCATACCTTGTCATTTCAGCTTAGCTGAAATACTGTTACTTCTTAAGCTGCAGGAACTCAACTGTACAGCTGAGCCTCAAGTACCTTTTTGTAACTTCAAGCATAAGCTTTTGTGGTTTGCTGAGGCAGGGCTTACATTTGAAATTAATGCTAACATTTATGCATGTGCCTAGTTTCAAGCACTGTCAGTACTCACATTGGACTTGGATTTATCCATTGAGGGGCTGAACTGTAAAGAAGAAAAAAACCTAGTGGGATAGTCTCCTGTGTAAATGTAATTCATAAATATTTGCAGAATCAGGTCTGCAGGTTCAAATATGTCCTGTAGCTATTTTATGGCTTTGACAATGTTACCTATTCATTTTGACACTTTTAGGTTTTTTTTGTTACTAGTACAGTGTTTGAAATTAATTTTCAAATTTTATTCTCCATTGATCAGGAAAAAAAAAGAAGTATCTATACAGTGTTAACATGAATATTGACCACAAGGTGAACGGGACCCACTTTTTTGTCAGAAGCTTGCTTGTCAGCATGCCGGTGATAGATCAAATGTAAAGAAAATCACTTCTGCAAAGCCAATTTGCTAAGGGGCTTGTAAAATCCATTTTTAAAAAGTTACTGAGGTGAAAAAGTGAAGGACCAGCCAACCAGATATTTTGATCGGCTCTTCAAGGTCAAAAACTGATTACTAATTCATCAAATATCTTACTGGTAGCACTGTTTGAAGAGCAAACAACTCTGTGCAGGTATTCTACCTAATAACTCTAATACTATGGAAAGATGGGTAGAGTAGGATAGGAACAAACAGAATTTTTTACTTACTTTTGGCAATGCTACAATCATAGGAGCTGTGGTCTTCAAAGCATTGGCAGCCCAGTTCAGTGCATTGCCCATTGCTGTTACAGAAAGCAGGACACCGGAGGACGGTGAGGATTTCCTCCTGGGTAGCAGATGGCTGATTTCCTACATGAAACCCTCTGTTTCTGTTTCCTAGCACTCTTCTTTCACATTCATTTTCCAAAAGGGCTGTTAGTGCCCTCACCCAAGCCACGTCATCTTTGAGCTGCAGATCTGAAAGGCATATATCAATTGCCTCATCCATCTGTTTTCCAAGGAGGCCTTTACACACTAAGCCAATGGTGGAATTTGCAAGAATTTGGTGGCAAATCTCCCGAGCTTTGGCGGCGGTTAGGCCATTGGGAGTGGGCCATGCCAGTGGAAGTTTTGTCCGAATCCCTTCAAAGTAATCCTCTGGGAAAAAATACGCAAAGCTCTCTGAGTCTCTCTGGCTTAGGCCATGCAATGAGCGAAGGGGTAAGTACTCATAATAGTCTTCTTGCCTTTTTGTTCTCTGTAGGTCTTCTGTTCGTTTGGTAGTGTTAATGGAACTGTCCTTTTTCATGGAAACATTGTGTGCAAGGGGTTTTAGTCGATCCTTGGGGCTACCTCGCTTTTGGACTAATTTAGGCAGATGTCTTTGATCAAAAGACTTGGTCGACAGTTTCTTGTCTTTTCTTAAAGTAGGCTCTGTTTCTGACTGAGTGACAAACTCTGGCGTAACATCTAGATACGGGATTGCAGAGGTGTAATCCACATGATCATAATGGCAACCAGAGGATTGAGGGAAAGGAGTCTGAAAGGCATTCAGCGCGTTTACCACGGGCACAGACTTAGTGCTCTGCTTCTGACATCTGCAGTAATTTTTCCTTTGCTTCCCCTCAGAAGGTGCTGGAGTCTTGTCAAATAAACTCCTCCCTGGAGGTATTCTGATTTACAAATAGAAAGAGATTAGAGGGAGGAAACTTTCAACAAATTAGTCTACAATACCAAGTAAACTTTCTTTCCCTTAGGCTGGGGAATGTATAAATTCCTAATCTACCGAAGTGCTTAAGAAAATGCTTAATTTTAATCTCTGTTTTCTTTAGTCGCTTTTGCACTGCCCTTCTTGGGTTGTCCTGTACATTTTTTAGCACTACATTGGGACTTTTTAGTAACAGATGCTTAAGTGCTTTGCTGGAGCGTTGCCTAACAGCTTGACTTCTCTTTGCAGAACTTTCTCTAAGGTGCAGGTTACCTTTTGCATATTGTACATGAAATAAGGCCTTGGATTTGTCCCTGGTGTGACTCAAATACAGTTTGGAGAATGACAAAAAAGATGTATTTGTTTCAAATGCTTTATTATGAAAATCATTTTTATCTATTTGCCTGTGCTATCCTTACCAGATGTTTCCTCTAAGACTTGGATCACTATATTTTTTCTTTTAAATGGTTTTTTCCTTTAAATTTTTTTATGCATACTTCATTTCATTCTTGTCTTCTAATGGAGCTTTCTTTGAGTTTTTCTTTTGACACAAAGCAGTTTTCTATTGATCGTAGGGCTAGGCTATCACATAAGGTAAGGTGATTTTTTTTTCCCTTTTTAATTTAGTCCAGCTTTAATGATGGATGAACTTCTAGAGAGTTCAGTTTGAATAAACAGTCATGATTAAAGTTTCTTTGGAAATTTCATGATCTTTTATTGATCTTATTTGTGCAGCACAAGAGGAATCCTGGAGCTTCATAGAAAAGGATATGTTTCTTATCCCAATAGTTGGCAGCAATTTATTTCCAGACAAATTTTAAATATCACAAAAAATGTGAATTATTTTGGCATTAATTTTGTCTTGCAGCCATAATGTAGAGATTTCAGGAAAGTGAAAGCATTTGCCAACATTTTGGAGCCAGACACTAGATTCTGTAGGAAGCGTAATTACCTTTATCCAATTTTTCCAATATATATTGAAAATGGCATATATGACATTATTATTTTGATCATTGATACAATACTACTTTTAAATAAAACATCACGGTGACACAGGCAAAATGAACCAATTTCTCTATCTGAAACAGGAGCCCAGACGTTTATGAAACCATTTTACCCAATGTGCGGGCACAGCAGAATACGATGTGATACGATGGGAAGGCTTTTGTGCTTGCAGAAATGCACAAGCTATTCTGCACTTTCCTACAGTCTAGGACAATAAAACATATTTGGTGATTGAGGAGTACTGAAACAACCTCTAGTCCTTTGGACAACGCGGTTTAGTGTCTGAGTGGGCGTCCGGCACGCGCTGTTCCTCCGGCTCTGCATGGTGGTCTTACCTGCAGCTGAAGCTGCCCAGACTCGCACCATGAACTAACTGTAAACCTAAATTAAGGCAGCAGAACTAGCTCTTTCTTTGGGGGAACATTACAAAAACTAGAATCTCTAGGTAAATATTGCGTATTTAATAAATAAACATAAACTGGCCCAAAATCAGGACAGAAACTTAAAACAAAAATGAAAATTTCAGCAAAATGAAAATCTTTTGCCTTGGTATTTTATTGAAACAAATTGCTTCGTTATTCCTGTATGAAACCAAATACCTTCCTTTGATCAGCTGTGGTCAACAGGGTGGGGGTATGTGGTGTGGAAAGGATGGAGCCACTGAAAACCCCGTCCTTCCTCACAGGCACACACGCTGAGAGCACCTCAGTGGGCTAGGATGTGCCTTCTGATCCCTGCATAAGGTGACTAGACTATCATTCCTCTTAGCTGCCCATTATAATCAAGGAAGAACTAAAGACAACGTTTTCAAACTGAGTTGGATGCTATTATAGAGAGACAGTTCAAAATTAATAGCATTGCTGCTGGTTTCTCAATAGATTTGAAAAATGGTTTGAAAAATGTATTTTACCTACTTAAAATACATGTTTTAAAATTCAGCTCTTCCTTGTCCGGATGCTATTCAAGGGCTGGGAGGCTCTGATGTTGTTTTATTGTTTAAAAGTTGTGTTGGAAAGCTGATGTTTAAAACAGATCTGTGGCATTCAAATTAATAGCATTGCTGCTGGTTTCTCAATAGATTTGAAAAATGGTTTGAAAAATGTATTTTACCTACTTAAAATACATGTTTTAAAATTCAGCTCTTCCTTGTCCGGATGCTATTCAAGGGCTGGGAGGCTCTGATGTTGTTTTATTGTTTAAAAGTTGTGTTGGAAAGCTGATGTTTAAAACAGATCTGTGGCATTCAGAGCC